GGGGAAACATGGAGGGTTATTAACATGCAGATTGACAATAAATAGGCATTCAATAATTAGCTAAATAACACTGAAACTGTGACTTTGAGCAGGTTCCTGTTTATTCTGAATCTCTCCTGCCAAATGAGGGTAAGAGTTAGGTGTGTGAAGACTGCTTGAGAAATTGCAGTTCACATTTTGGGACATAGTAGTTATGCAGTAAAAAGTAAAATAGCAACTACAAGAATCAGAAAATCAATCACAGAGCTGAGTATTTATTACTGATCATCAGCCTCCAGAGGCATGAAACTGCCACATGCAGTAGCAAACATCTCTCAGAAGATGAAGGTTTGGGTCTTCATCTTGTCACCTCAAGAGTTCATTAGCCCTTCAGAAAGCATCTTTTCTTGAGAATTTGTTTTTCAGGCTTTGTAATTATCATCAGATCTAAAGATGATGCCAATGACATAAGTGTAAATAGCACTTCCAAAAAAAAAAAAAAAGAGTGCACCTGGAATGAAAGACCTGAAGATACTTCCAATTAGGGTGGAAGGGAACAATCAGGGATGACACTAAAATAAGTCCCAAAGACTAGCACTGCTAAGATGAGCAGAGAGCTGGAGATTTATTTTAACTGAGACATGCACCCATCCACCTTGCCCCTCCATCGCAGGGAATAAATGATAAAGTAGAATGTGAACATCTCTGGATCTTAGTTAACCATTGACCCATTCATCTACTCTGTGATCAAGTACTGAGCATGAGTCAGTTCCATGTTTGAGAAATGCAGGCATCATAGATCTAGAGACATAGAAGCATGGAACAGACTGACGAATCTCAGAGGGAAGGGGGGTAGGAAGAGATTAATCAAAGAACTTATATGCATATATACATAACCCATGGTTACAGACAATAATGTAGTGAAGGCCTGGGGGTGGGGGAAGGGTGGATGAGGTCAATGGGGGAAAAAGAGGACATCAGTAATACTTTCAATAATAAAGATAAAATTTGAAAAAGAATAGTAAAATTATGTTAAGGTCCCACCAATAAGTAAACAAATAAAGATCATTTTCAAACCCTCCCCCCCCCAAAAAAATAGAAATGCAGAAGTCAAAAGACATGATCCTGTCCTGGCCAGTGTGGCTCCATTGCTTGGGCATCCCTCTGTGCACCAAAGAGTTGCTGGTTCATTACTCGGTCAGGTCACATGCCCAGGTTCTGAGTTAATTCTCAGTAGGGGACGTGTGCAAGGCAGCCCACCTATGTTGTGCTCTCATATCGATCTTTTTCTTTTCTCCCTTCCTCTCTCTCTAAAAATCAATAAAATATCTTTAAAAGGCATGATTCCTGTCCTCAAAGAATTCATAGTCTACTAAGAGAAAGATGACAATGCAAGCAAGATATGACAAGACCTAGAATCACACCTGCCCAAGGGACAGGGAGAACACAAAGGAAGAGTTTCCGTTTTATCAAGGTTGATCATGAAAAAATAAAAGTGTTGCTTAAACTGAGTTTTGAAGAATGAACATGAGTCCCCTGCCAAGTCAAGCATGGTGTGCACATGCAAAGGCACCGTGTCCTCTTTGTGACTCTACACGTAGTCTAGTGCAGGAGCAGAGAAAATGCAGGAGAGTAACAGATGATGAACCTCTGAGGCATAGTTATCGCACATTCTCCCTTTCTGTGTAACTCCAAGAATGCCTAAGATGATGTTTGGCACGTATGTTCTCAGGAGATAAGTGGTTGTTATCAAATCTCATATTATCTGTAGATTTAATCTTCTTGTGTGACACAGCAGAATCAGAAGTATACTTTGTGTGTGGTCAGATAAGAGAACTGAAGAACTCTCAGACATGGCTTCTTTTTATCTTCCACTGGATAGTATCTAATGCAGTGTTCCTTAACTTGGCATCCTCCACTACTCTATTAAAAGTTTTTTGTTTTCATTCAAATTGTAAAAATAATACATATATTAGAGTGATGAGCCAGCTATCACGTTTTGCCATGCCTTTTGGCATTCAAGTTTTGTGTTTGTGGTTTTGAACATCTTAACACCACATGATCAGCCAAAGTGACAACTTTTTCTTCTAATTCAGTATTCTTTGGAATTCAGGCCCTCAAATTTGATAACAACTTGACCTGCAATTCCTGAAGATAAGGATATGAAGACCCAGAGAGGAGAAATGGCTTTATAATGCATTCAGCTAGTCGGTAATGGGGACTAGAACCCCAGATGCCTGAATCAATGTTTTCCCTGTCATAGTTAAGCCACCACCCCTCTGAATAGGCATCCACCAGTCCCATGACTTTCAGGATCTTTAAGTTCAGATCCAAGTTCATAATTCACAATGGTGCAGATTACTTTATGGTCAGATTTTCAGCTTCCTGTTTAGCTTGGACAAGGTCTGTGCCTCACCTCTCTGAGAAGCAAGCAGAAAGGATCAGGATAAATTACTCCAGCTTAGGATAGTAAAGATTCGCTTTTTTAAAAATCCATACTCTCTGACCCTCTCCTATGTCAAAATTTGTGACTTCATACATATAAGAAGGATTTCTCTTACATTCTAATGAGATGGTACCATGAAACTTCTGATCCTAAAGTAAGTATTGTTTTTTTTAAACATTATTTTTCAATTAGAGTTTACATTCAATGTTATTTTGTTACTAGTTTTAGGTGTAAGTATTACTTTTTTATTTATTTAAAGGAGGTATAAATTGCTTTCCTAGTAGGAATTTTAAAAGCAGAGCAATCAATCAATTTATGCTGTGCCTTGCACACATTTGATAATTAATAAGTAGTTGTTGAATGAATGATAAATTGATATTACCTAAAACACCTATCTAATGCAATAAATAGTCTAGCTTGGAACTGGAAGGTGAGTAAACCACAGGGTGTGGGGATTCAGCAGAATCACCTGGGGAGCTTATGGAAAATGCAGGCTCTGGAACCCCACCCAGACTAATTAAATAGGAATTTCCACAAGCTGACACCCAGAATTCAACATTTACAAAAGTTCTTTCCAAATGAACTCTTGACGTATTTTTCAGAGCAAAAGATTCTAAGTTGAAATGATGGAATCAGCTATGCTAATCAATTAAAATCCTACATGAGATGCAAGAACTTCTGGCACCATAGTAACTGACACCAGCTGTCCCTTTCCTTCTTTCAGATATTTTCTCTGCTCAGGACCCTACTTATTCATTCTCTGAAAAAAAAACTTATTATTAAATGCTTATCATGCTAGACCAGGGAATAGAGTATTGAACACAATATAAATGGCCATTTTCTCATGGAACCCATATATCTCAGTCAGGTGAGTACTACTAGAGTTCTATCCAGGATATTTTTCTGAATGTATGCGCTTGACTTTCATTCCTTGGTATCTCCTTACAACAAAGAACATTTTTGGCTTCCTGGTCCCAATGGTGGAAAACTATTGACAACAGCTCTCTAAATGTACATCTCCTCCATTCAAGAAAGTAGTCAATCCCAAAAAAAGCTCACTGGCTCAACCTAGGCTGGGTAGGTCTCCTGGACTAGCCACTGTGGCCTAGAAAAGAGGTGTCTCATTACAAGGGCATGGTTGCTCCAATGGAGCTATATCATCAGAGAGAGATTGGGGAAAGTCCATTAGAAAGAGATAATGGATATACAATTTGATACATTTCAACCACAGCTCTCTGAGGGCCATCCATGCACTTCAGTGCTTGAATGCTATACCATTCATTTGGGTAGCCTAGAGTTTTATTCTGCTTACTGTCCAAATTTTGGCTCTGTTCAGATAAGTAGGTTGTTTTAGTTATTCTTCCATTATTCACTCACAAAACATTCATTAGGCAGTGACCTGGTCCTGGTCCTGGTCCTGAGGATAAGAAGAAGAAATAAGCATAAATTTGCTTCACTTAGTGCTTATACTTTACTAAAGAAGACAAACATGTAGACACAAAATGATCATTTATAGTGGTGGAGTCATGTACCAAGTACAAACACAAGAGGGTCATAGAAATCTTCACGTATTTCCTTAAATGAGTCTTAATGGATACAAAGGAGTTCTCCAGCTTAGACTGACTAGGGAGGCTCCCAAACAAAACATACGGTGAAAACAAAGTTAAGGTCTGTGTAGCAGAAGGAAGTTTCATGGGTGAGAGGTGAAGTAGTAACTGTAGCTAAAAGATTAGTCACTTTATAAGTGACTTCCCAGCCCTACCACTTGTGAGGTGGGTGCACTTGGGCATGTTGTCAGATTTTCTGTACCTATCTCATAGGATTGTTGTGCGAGTTAACATTTGTAATGCACGTGAAGTGTTTAAAGTAGTACTGACATATCTTGAGTGCTTAATAAATGTTTTAATGTTGTCCTCATCATCATTATTCCAAACAGATGTGCTATTCCTGGGTGAGTTCATTTTACTTGTGAGAGAAGACCCCATATTATTTATCATCATGCCATAGTCATTGTGATTTGGACTTGGCCCAGAGTACAAAGTAGTCAATTGAGAGATCACATGCATTATGTTGCTGACAATGTTATAGTGGATCTTACAGAATTAGCAGAGGAAATTCCAGTGTAATCTCACTCACCACAAAACCACATGCTGCTTTTGCATAGTTGTACACTCTAATCATAAGGTGCCAATTCTACTATGTTTGGTTAAAGACTCTTGCTGACTACACCTGTCATTCAGCCCAGACCCCCACCATGGAGACTGTGAACCAGAATCCAACCACATTTTTCCAGAGAAATGTTCTGAAGCATGAACTAGTCTTGAAAACATAGCACCACATCACGTGGACAGTTAAATTTCAACTTTGGAACAATTTCTTATATATTCTTAGGACTTTGGTTCAAAGGATGTGATCAGTGCCACCCCCCCCCCTTAGAATTGGGTAGGAATTAAAGAATTCTTTCTATTTCTTCCTCTTATTTCTCTATCTCTTCAATAAAATACCAACAATGGGGACAGTAACATTTGAACTGAACACTCACCCCAGAACCATATCCTTTGCTAATTCTATTTACATTTTCTCCTGGCTTGGCCTTTTCAGGCTTGCTTCTTCTGTACAAATAATGCTCTTCCTGCTAAATCCGCCAGTCACTGTGCAGGTGTTATGGATGGAGAACCATAGTGGACTGCTACCTTCACAGGGACCTGTTTAGATTTTGCTTGCAGAGCAGCTTGCTCTGGCCAGTTAAATCTTCTTTCTTCAATGTGAAAGAGAGACAAAGACAGAGACAGAGACTCACAAACGTGACTTAGAGAAAGAACCATTGAGATCTTGAAAAACACAATGCTATCTATCTTTTCTCTTAAAGAGACATGGTGAAGAGACATACTTTATTAATCTCTGAGAGGTCCAAGAAAGAAAGGAAAATATAGGGAATAAAGAAAAGAGGAGGAAAAGAAGAGGATATGGCAAAGTGAAGAAGAGAAGGAAAAGGAGAGAAGAAAGATTAAGACATCAGTTGTGGGAGGGAATCCGTTTCAATATATCAACATATTACAGTAATATTTGCCCACACACTTGATCCCATGCATCTATAGGGTATGTAGAAAGGGTATATAAACACCTCTAAATGTGGCTTCCATGTCCCAGAGGCCAAATGGCATTCCTTAAGGTTCACCAAATCTGGGTTTCATGGGCCAATGGTCTCATGAAATCACATGGTAAACTTACAGGATTTTCCAAAATTGAGATGAGATACTGGATATAACTGAACAAAAAGCAAAGTTTCCATGAAGTTTTAAAATAAATCTTTTTTAACCAGTCACTTGAAGCCACTTGAAGCATGACCACCAGGGCATTTATTTGTTTTCCTTGAATATTAGAGAGTCTTTAGGAGAAAAAAGTTTAAGGAGTGATTTTCAACTTCACCATTTTTGAGCTATCTAATCCCTCTGAGCTATTTAATCTCTCTGAATCTACTATCCCCTGCTTGAGGAATGGCACTAAAAAACAAACTAATAATAACAATAAAAAGAAAAACATTGTTTTACTATAATAATAATAATAACAACAACAATAACAAAGTCACTGGCAAACCTGAAACTCAGTCCCAGTCCTCTGCTCATTCATTCATGCACTTATTCACTTGTTTATAACAAATATTTAGTGAGGAGCTGATCCTAGGTCAGACTCTATAAATAGAGTGATGAACCAAACAATCAAAAATTCTGCCCTCCTGGACCTTACAGTGTAATTTCCTACTCTGTCGTCTAGCCTTCCTCATCTCTTCTTTGACTAGGTGAACACAAAGTCTTGGGTATCCATGCTTATTTTTCAGAAATAGGTCTTCATTTCTTTTATCTCTCTATGAAATAAGGCAGTAGCTGACACCACAAGAATGTGGTTGTGTTGAGTCTGTGAGAATATAAGGCTATGCTGCCCCACCTGGATCCTGCCCATGGCAGGGCCTGGGCCAGCCAGTTGCCAGTTGACAGGGGACCAGGTGAGCGCTGGGAGCGTCTGTGACTCAAGCAGTCCTGCCTGAATGTCCACCTTGAGATAATGAGACTCTTCAAGCCAAAGCATCCGGAGGTAATTGGGGTGTTTTTTAAACAAACTTTGTTGAATGATAAAGCAGCACCCAGAGCAGTTGCCCTGGGAAAATTGGGTGTGTAGTTCATGCAGTCGTTCCATTCGCACAGAGCCAGGGCGTGTCCCAAGCCAAAGGAATCCTCTGGAAAGCCGATCAGCCAGTGATAAGAATGGGTATGTTCACAGGCACTTGTATGAATAATGTCAGTCCTCACGGAGCTCAGAGCACTTTATTATAGGTAGGTAGATAGCGACTAATCCTACTGAGTCAACAGAAGAATCGAATCCCCTTACACTCAGTCCCACATTCTGCATGATTCTGTTATTAAGGAGAGCAATTATATTTTTCTATCTGGGGCAAAATGGATCCAGTTGGAAGAGTTCTCATGGAGACCTTGGGAAATCTTGCACTTCCTGTAAAATCACAATTATTGTAACAAATTTCTGCTTTATAACTATATTTCCATCTCTATTATCTCTTTGGAGCCTCACAACACTTTAAAATATAGGCAGAATATGTATCATTATACCCAATTTAATGGAGAAGGAAACGGAGGTTCAGAGAGAATAAGTGACTTCAATAAATGTTCTCAGCTTTTAAGAAGAAAAGCATGATCAGTCCTGCTGATGCCAAAACCAGAGCTTTCTCAATCTCTGTGCTGTTTTCAAAGTTTTTCTTTATTAGTAGAATTTGAATCCTCAAGACCAAAACGTGGCATAGACTGTTGTAGAATTTCTTTTTAAATGTTTTCAATTTTTACCTAAAAGAGAATGCTCTGATTTTGAGGACATGACTATAGGATTGTGCATAACATGGGCCATTTGTGTTGGTTTATGACAATCCAGAGTTGGAGAATGTTCATGTATTGATTTGAAAGGAGACAAGGAGCCTGGAGACGAGACTCCAAGAGGTAGGAGATGATTCAGAGAACCAAGCCCATAACACTGTGAGGAGGAAAACTCAACCTGCTTTTTCAGTCTGTGGTTTGTACTTGGATACCTTTTTTTTTTTCTTTTCGCTACTTCAGTTACCAAACTGATACACACTTGTCTCTTTTTCTTCCCCACTTGACTGTCTTCCTACTTCCTTTAAGAAAACAGAGGATACTATGCTAAGTGAAATAAACCAGTCAGAGAAATACAAGTACCATATGATTTTCCTTCTATGTGGAATCTAATGGACAAAATAAACAAACAAGCAAAAAAGAAACAAACTCATAGATACAGAAAACAGACCGATAGCTGTCAGAGGGGAGAGAGGTTGGGGGACTGGGTGAGAAGGCTAATAGATTAAGCAATACAAATTATTAGTTGCAAAATAGCCACAGACATGTAGATTAAAGCATATGGAATACAGTCAACAATATCGAGATAACTATGTAGTGGGTACTTAAAGCCAGGGGGGACCACTTCGTAAAGTACTAGATTTTCTAACCACTTTGCTGTACATCTGAAACTAATACAGAATAATATTGAATGTCAACTGTAATTGAAAAGAAGAAGAAGAAGAAGAAGAAGAAGAAGAAGAAGAAGAAGAAGAAGAAGAAGAAGAAGAAGAAGAAGAAGAAGAAGAAGAAGAAGAAGAAGAAGAAGAAGAAGAAGAAGAAGAAGAAGAAGAAGAAGAAGAAGAAGAAGAAGAAGAAGAAGAAGAAGAAGAAGAAGAAGAAGAAGAAGAAGAAGAAGAAGAAGAAGAAGAAGAAGAAGAAGAAAAAGAAAACAGAATTATTGTAAAGATGCCCTACATAGCCATAGCAAATACTCATCAAATATTTGCTACAGTTGAATAATATGCTGACTCAGAGATTAGAGAGTAATACTAGTAGCTAGCACTTACAGAGAACTTAATACATGCTAAGGCCTTTACATGAATTAACACATTTAATCTTCACAAAAAAAATTCCATGAGGTATTCAGTATTATGAACATCATCCCCATTTTATAAAAATCTGAGGTTGAGACACTTGTCTAAGTTCACAGAGGTAGAAGCAATAGTCCTGAATGTGAACTCTGGAAGTCTGACTCTCTAAAAGAAACTAAATGCTCTCCAGAGAAAAGGAAGTTTTATTCACCTCTCATCTCCAGGCTATTTAGCATGGCTACTAGAAAATGCTAAATTCTTTGTAAACCTTTGATAAATTCTGTAAAGGTCCTTAATGTCAGGAGAAACTGCTATATGCGTCTGACAAGCTTCAGGCTGAGAGGTAGGGTGCTGAGATTCCGAAGGCCCTGGTCTAACCTTTCTGGGCCAAGGATACTACCTCAAATCTCCTGAGTAAGTGAATACATATATTCAAGTCGTGGTTAACCCCTACTCTGACTTCCTATGAAAAAAAAAAATGAGGTCAGAAACACTCACCTTGTTTTTTAAAAGCCAATGAAGCCCTAGAGCACTATGCCAGCCCTCTGGAAGCTACTCAATAACAGGCTCAGACTGATCTGTAAATAAACGAATGACTCTACTGGTGAAAGATGCTAGCTTCTCAAAAAGCTACATGTGGGATTGATATTCCAGAATCCTATCCTTATAGAAAATCTTCAGCATTACCTCTGAGACGAGGCACTTACCTCATTCCCCCTAGAGTTAGAACATCATTGGGAAGATGACTAACTTGCATCTATTGGGTTTTGACTAACTTGCATCTATTCTGAAAAGGAATGTTTATTGGGAGCCCAGTGTGCTGAGGACTTTTGGTAAGAAAACCTCCAGTACAAATATTTTCTGAGCCTTGCATGAGAAGGGAGAGATTGGCCCTCAGCAAGCAAAAGGTCGTATGCTCTCCGTCTGTGACAAGGCCAGTGTAGGAACTAGCTCTAGGCTGCTCCAAAACCACAAGAGGTCCCTCTGGGAAGGGCAGGTTCATTTCTGTTGGCCAGCAACACTCTACAGCTATTTACTAGTACACAAAACCTACACAGAAGCCCATTGTTACACTTCCCTATAAAATGAGGTTAGGAAGGTTCGCTCATCTTTCCATAGACTATTAAACTTAAAGCATCGTTGGAGCCCTGTCAATTTCAACTTCCCATGTTACATATAAGGAAACTCAGTCTCAGTGAAGGTACAAGGCAAGCAGTTAGTAGGGGATCACCCTGTAACCAGCATCCTCGTCACCTAGTCAGTTTTTACCACTGTAATAGGCGCTTCCTTTCTTTACTCCATACCACTTCCTTCTTTCTTATCTGCTCCTTTTTTTTTAATCTCATTTTGTTATTGACTGGAATGGGGTCCAGCCACTTGGTAGAAGTCAGCCAAAAACACATTCCAAGAAAGTTTATTGCTGGCCAGCAAACAAGGAGTGCACTGGGGGTCATTCCCTGAGCAGTTTCTCGCCAAGAACAAAAAACCAGATGGTTTTATAGGGCTGTTGCTTACATCATAGCATGTTGAGGTATGTTTTGGGTGAGCATGCACAATAAATGGACATGGCTAGATATGCATCACGTGCACAGAAAACAGCAGGTAAGCCCTCACCTGGGGGAGATTTTAGTATTACT